TAAGATCATGTTTCAGAGTATATGTAGGTGTAGCTAGCATATGCAGATGTTCTGTTTGACTGGCAAAAAATTACCCTCCCAGAGAGACAGAGGAACAGATGCAGCCAGGGCAAGAATTAGGTGTCTCTTCCCGTTTCCCTCAGCGGTATAAATTTCAGAACAATTGTTTTAATGGTAGCATTTTAAAGTGTTTGCAATTTCATTTTAATGACAATCACATAAAAAATAAGCTATTGGCAGAGTGCAATGACTTTAAAGTCAGGGAATAAAAAAGTTCGTTTTCTGTATAAAATAACATACATTCGATAGACAACTTGGCTGTATTTGTAATATATAGATGCAGTTTGCGGAACAGTAAATGTTTTGAGAGTTTTAACTTCTTGACTTTCATGTGTTTAAATTCATAGGTTAATATTATACTAAACCAGTTTTATCATTTAGTGTAAGAGGTATTCAAAGAGGTGGCAGACATGGAGTTGTGATACAGTAATCTAAGAATACACATCATGAGGATTTAATGACCTTTAGTTGAAAAGGGTCTCTAGGGTATTCTAAAGATCCAAAACTCAAAGGTTTTTGTGAACATTAAGGAAAGGCAGCATGCATTTTAAGTGAAGTGTTTAAAAGTTGTTTTATTTTCTTCCACATATTTTCCAGTCAAAGGGGCGGGTGGTTGACTTAATGCCAAATAGGTCACAGGTGCAGTGATAATAACTGAAACCAAACATGTATGCTTTTTCTCTGTTGTCCTTTCAATCCTTAGGTAGGCACACCATATACACAACTGTGGTGCTTTTAGAAAGAACCTAAAGATAACCTCCTGATGCTGCGTGGGAGATTTACTTGTAGCGAGCCCTTACGTTGCTTTCTGTTCCAGCAATTCCCAACAATTCATACAGGAAAGTTGGATTGGACAAATTTTTCTTGCTCATCAGCTTAACTGTTTAATACTAGAAGGGAATGATTTATCAAGCAGCAGCTTTGTATCTCTCCATGTCTATGCATTTTAAAGAGTCATAAAAATAATGCTTTTTAAAATTCTTGTTAATAGAACCAAAATAATTATTTGAGCAGAGGAAAAGGCGGCAGACAGTAATAAATGGAACCTTTGTTGTACTCAGCAGTTTTAAGTATCCTAAAATGACATATTTAAAGAGGTAATTGTCTGTTACAGATAAAAGAATATTACTGTGGTAAAAATATGAAAATACAGCTGTTTTTAAAAACTCTGAACTCTTGCTCTATTTTAACTTTTCAGACAGATTTGGACAAAAGTGTATTTAGGTTTTTTATCAAGTGCCTTTTATACTGTAGGTCTGATTTAATACACAAATAGTCAATTATAGCCATGCAGTAGAAAACACTTTTTTTCCCCAGTTTCAACTTATTAAGGGAAGTATGAATCCCTTAGCATGACTATCATAAAGTTTCTTGAAATTGGAAAGTGCAAGCCGCTGAAAGTGTGGTCTAGAACTGCAAGTTCATCTTTCTTATTAGTGTTAATTGCATCTGCTTGCTTGAATGTATGTGATAATCTGTTTATCCACAACTCTAAATTTTGACAAGGTGTGTATAGCATTCTGTTGTTTAAAAACATGATGTTAATCTGATCAAATTAGTTTTTCTGTTGGCAGTTAGTATTGCAACTTGTGATAACAAGAGAAAAAGTCAGTATATTGAGAAATTTTGAAAATTTATTTTTTAAATTTTGACACTACAGATGCTTACTAGGTGAGCAGCATTCCTCAGCTTTGCCAGGGTTTTCATTATGGTTGCTAGTTAATAACCGGAAAGTAGATTTCCATTTCTTGAAAAACTGTAAGATATTGAATCTTTTTTTGTTTCACAATAAGTTGGAACAATTTTGACCTGCTGCAGTTAGGCTGCAGAATTAGTAAACATCTAGTACAATAAATACTGTAATGTTCATATATGGAAGTGAAGCAACACACAGAAGAGACTGAGGTATTTATGCTGGCATAACTACCACCTGTGATCAGAGCACTGGTTATGGGAGAATAGATCAATATCCTTGCTCTGGTTTGGACTGGGCAGAGACTTCAGACTCTTTCACACCCCAGGTGAATGCTATTATGATCTTAGCTTTTCATTGTTCCAAATACACTTACTTGGACTGAAATTCGAAGTTTTAGCAAAATTGACGTATTTCTACAATTGGCTTTTGTTCTGAAACTGCTTTTGCCTTCATATCTCAATTGAAGTGAAATAAAGTGGGTTTTTTGTTCCTTGTACATTTGAAAAAACAAATGTTACATCTGCTTCTGTACACATCTGGCATCTTAATGTCAAATGACATCATCATTGTGTTATCTGTCATTCTGTGAATCAGGGCAAATATATTTTGTCATTGATTATTTTTTGTTCTGGGTTATTTGCTGGTTTTGATTCATGAAAGTTTTATTATGTAAAAATTGAGCTACTAGTAATTTTTTGCTTCACTATGTATTTTTGGCCTGCAAGGAACTTTCACTAACTTTTTTAAAGGAATTTAATTCTCTTCATATACATATTGATTTTTGGTGTCAAAACCACATGCAAGGTTTGTCATCTTGCTTATAGATTGTAGCTTTACAGACATATCATGAATATAGCTGTTCAACAGATTTGTATTATTCATATGGATATTACATTGACAAAATTTATCTCTCCTTTGGTTTCTGTTATCACTTAACAATCCAAAAGCAGCAAATGACTCTTTATAGCAAACATAAAAATTGTGGGTTAAAAAATTTGGGTATCCTTAGCAAAAAAATACAGCTTAACAAATGGTTTCTAATTGATTTTGGGACTCAGGTCTTCATTTTGTTAAGTATTATTAGCATAAATTTAAACTTCAGCTGTTTGGTTCCAAGACTTGAGTAGAAATTATTAAAGTATTACTGCTTCTACAGTGTTAGGTAATTTTTAATAAGTACCTTTAGGAAAATGTTAATATGTTAAGTCTGTAGAAATTACAAAAAGCTTAATTATTCATCAGCTCCATGATATCAATGAGCTGTGTGTTTGTACATTAATGTAATTGCTTAAAAGTAACTTTACTGGCATGTATTCAAGATTGTGTTATTAGAATTTAAAAAATGACTTTCTGGAATACTGCTTAAAGCTGGTACCACATTATAAAGAAAACGGAGTTACCTTATGTGTGAGCTATATGATATTTTATATACCTAATGAAACTTGCCTGTGAATGTACTTCTGCGCATTCCTTGTCCTTTGATTCTGGAATACTTGTATAATGAAAAGAAACATTCCGGCTTCTTATTTTAATTCTTATTGATAAACCTCATTCTGTGATGGAAGACTATATTTGTTAAACGGTTCCTACAGTGTTATTGCTTATTTCCTGAGTATAGTTTTAGTCTATTATGCAGAGCTCTGTTTCTGTCACAAGGGGAGTTAGAGCACTGTTGCTATTTTATTACAGTCAGTGGGTAATGAACCAAAGTAAAAAATCATGTTGCTATTTAATTGCAGAATTCAATAATTTAACTGTTCTGCAAGCACAAATGTTGACTTGATCACTGTTTTTGACAAATAGCTGAATTTAATCTTTTAGTAAAGTCTCCACTGTGTTTTAAGTGTTGACAATGAAATCGTATTTTTCTCTTACTGAATAACAGATAAATGTTCAAAATGTGGCATATGCAGAAATACAGTTTTGAGGTGATAAGCTTTAAGATTTTCCTTTTTCTCATTTGCAGTAGTAATAATACTACTCTTATTCTTATGCAAAATTTAAATAAGAAGCTTCTAAATCACTTTAAAAATAACGCTTTCCTAAATTTGTGGTGATTAAGCATGCATAGACACCTTAACAATCATTAAGAATACAGTGGATATACCAAAGAAGAATGGAGAAACTGAATAATTGAGTTTAGCCATAATTCAAAACCAGGTAAAAATGAGAATGGTGATTGATGGAGTGTATTAATTTTTTTAAGCAATCTGGTGTCTCAAAACTGTCAATCTGTGCTCTGCAAACTATACTTTGGTTTTGAAGTTATAAAAGGTCTTTTAAGCTCAGTCCTACAACCCCTAAAGTGTGCAAATAGTGTTTTTTATTTCATGTGTATATTCTCTTTTAGTTGATTTGGATGCTGAATGCAAAGTGGAAGAGTGGAGTGCATATTTGTTGACTCGATACTACTGGCATAATCAACCTCTAAAAAAAAAACCCAAACCCCAAAAAACCCTCCAAAAAATAATGTTCATTTTCACATTAGGGAGAAGGAGAAAGGAATATCCAAGAAAAGCCTGCAGGTGCTCACAAATCTGCAATCTGACCCATGATACACATGTATTCTTCACTTGGTGCTAGTATTCAAGAAACCATGTTATAGTTTGAATTAGACTGTTAATCCAACTGAAAGTAGACTTCACAGGTTGCATGGGAAGATGGGTAGCTCGACATAAGCACTACACTTGCCACACTGGAGGAGTGGGATATGGTATATAGGATCTTATAGGATAATAATAAAGGAATGAAGAGCCTTTCTTGTAAATATCTCCATAAAATAGTGTAATAGATCAGTGTTTTATTGGGAATTTTAAATGTTCCTTAGCTTGTTGCATTTAACTTGAAATATATTTCTCTATTTGAAAAAATGCTTTGAGGTTTTCTCAGTTTTCATTGGCTGCTTTAAGTCTTGTTTTCTTTCCTTCTTAATGGATAGTCTGGAAGAACACCAAGCGTTGCTAAAAGAATAAAGTAAAACAGCCTTTTTCTTCTTGTTTTTCAGTTGTAATCTAAGACAACCACATAAAATAGATCACTTCTTAGAATTAGGATCTCTTTAAAATGTAAATTTTGCACTAATCTTTGCAAAAACATTGTAAGCTTTCTTGGGACTTTCAGTTTAATTCCTCTGAATGTATATGTTTGTATTGAACTGTTTGTATTGTGTGAAGTTATAACTGACAACTGTCTACTTTTGCAATTGTTTTTTCTTATATTGGTCTTCCATTTTTTGTGTGTGTAGGTTGCTATGGTGTTGATGGAGAGAGTGACTCTATCATGAGCTCAGCTTCAGAAAATTCCACGGAACCTTGGTTTTGTGATGCATGCAAATGTGGTGTCACACCTAGTTGTGAATTGTGTCCTAACCAGGACGGGATCTTCAAGGAGACTGATGCAGGCAGGTAAGACTTAAGAAGTGATGTTTTGAATTTGATATCATCTTACATTTAAAAGATTGGGTTTTGCCCTAGTCTGTTCCTACAGGAGACAGTGTCATAAATTAAACTTTGTTGATGTCCTCTCTCTCTCTACCCCCGCCCCCCCACACTTTTGAGTTGGGTGCTTTTTGGATAGTCAATCACCTAATTTTTTGTGTGCTCCTAATACTCTTCACGCCCACTATAATATTAGGAGGATGTTGTCGTAACGTGAATTTGAGCATGAAGATCTATGGACCTGTGAGCAAAAGATGTACCTAGGTGAAACAAAGATCACCATTTACTTCAGGGGCTGATAAATCCTTTTCTTCAGTATGAAGTCACCATATATTGTTATATGTATATAGATGTCTTACTGGATATACTAGAAGACCTTTCTTTGTCCCCTTGAACTACTTGTGTGATGCATCTTTTTCAACAAAAAAACATACTAGTGAAGGTGATGGAAGTCTTGAAAAAAACCCTTTTTTTGTTTGCATCAGGAATGCAGTTTACATTTAAAAAGGTTTCCTGCATAGAGGAGGTTAATATCCCATAAACTCTTACATCTGCAAGGATAATCATAGAATCATTCAGGTTGGAAGAGACCTCTAAGATCATCGAGTCCAACCGTCAACCCAACACCACCATGCCCACTAAACCATGTCCCTAAGCGCCGCATCTACACGTTTTTTAAATACCTCCAGGGATGGTGACTCAACCACTTCCCTGGG